TGTGCATTCCAATAAGTCGGAAACTATATATAAAAAAGTCATTTATTATTCTATTTAATTAAAGGTGAAATCCATAGGGGAAGAAAATCTGCTTCTCATAAATATTTTTTCAAAGAACTCTGCCCGCTGAAAAGTATGTTCATGTATTTCACACGACATGTACTCAATGGATGGGCATCTAGTGAATAAATGTATCAGTGCAGTGTTGCATGGATGCATTCAACCTGTGGGTCTGCTGAGGTGCAAAGGTAGCCAGGATTAGATAGATCGAAGCCCTTCACTCCTCCGCACTGCTGGGTCTGGTACTGTATCTCTCATTTCCATCTATACATACTCAATAGATTTGTCAGTTGAATTTGCAGACCAATCAGGCCACTGAACCAGCTTTTGATACCTTTCCCCCCGGTGCCAAGACCAGCTGGAGAATAAACTCGGCATCTCCTTTATGCTTTTTTCCACAGCAGAGAAAAGCATGAACTGTTACTAAATTTTGACAAAATGGAGACACAAACTCCTGCTTCAGAAATCTCTCTAAACGGAGGCTGTTATTATCTTTTTTCTATGTGCAGCTTTTTTAAGCAATTTTATTTTCATCTTATCTTTCGAACATCAGCCTTAGATACAGCACCCTAACAACAGTCAGATTAGTAACAAATGATTATTTGTGTCTTACTGTCCTTACAGAAGGTCCAAATGACTGTATTATTGATATTATGATCTTTAAGCTGTCAGAAAAAAGGACATTTTTTTTTTTTTTTTATCAGCTGAAACTCATTTTCAATTATGTCAATAGAAATACACTTGAAAATCATCAGTAGGAAGTTTCACCTTCAAATTACTGAGGTTAATTCACTTTCTGAGTATATTCTATTCTATGATCATGAAAAAAATACTATTCTACAGCAAAGTCTTCCCATTGCCATTTTTATGGCGGCACTGGTTGCATTTTAACAGCTTGCAGAAGCAGCAAAAGTACCAGCTGAATTTTTTCTTCCAAGTAAGGATCGCCTTTTAATTGGATACTTTTTAAATCAGAATTGCATAACAGAACTGTGTCTATCAATATGGTAATCACAGTCCAGAGATGAACGTTTTAAGGCTGCGCTGTCTGTTAGGGATCCAAGACTTTGTCAGTTGCACAGCTTGTAGCTGTTATCACCTACCCAAATACACACATAGCATGCTCACAACACCCCGAGGAGTAAAAAAAAAAAATCAGTGCTTATTCACTGAATTAAATAACTGCAGACTTAAATGGAAAGTGATGAGACTTTGAAATACAAATGCCGATGTCCTAAGGAGTGAGTACACTCTCAAAGCTTCAATATGAAAACACATATTGTAGAACAGAACAAAAAAAAAAAAGATCAGGCGTCTCTGTGCTTTTTAAACAGGCATCAGAGAGGATCCTACTGATTCTGTCCATTACCATTGGTGGGTAGAAGACATAAAGAATGCCGAATGAGCTCTAGACTTGCATTTCCATCTGGACTGCCTTGTTTACAACCCCTAACAACTTTTGCTGGTGAACACCATGGGAAGGTGGAAGACGACTCAAAACATATTTCATCATGAAATAACATTTCAGAATTGCGTTTCTTTAGATGTGTTTCGTGACGACAAAAGACTTGTTTGAAGAATTTGATCTGCTTTGAAAAGAATGACTGTTGGCCATGAGGCTTTGTTTTCCCAGGTTGAAACAGATATATGTAGGGTTAGGAAGTAGGTAGGTATAGGCAGGTGTGAGACTCTAACAACATCATAACCTTGAGCAAAAAGATAAACGTCAACGATCAATGGGTGTAGAAAAAAATTAAACAGAATGTGCAATATGATGAGAGTTATTGTTTTATAGTATGCAACATGTATGATTACATTATTGTTATGTGATTTTAACATGCAAACTTCAACAAAATGTGTGAAGGTTATAAAGACATTTTATCATGGAAAACCTTTTTTTTTTGTCTTTCATAATCTAGTTAATCAGTCAGGTTGCAAAACAGCTAGCAAACGGCTGTTTTGCAGATGCGCTGCTTTTTGCTTGTTAGCTGCAGCTTTAAAACAGCATAATCTTAAGCAGTGATGGGTGGCATTAGTTCAGTTTCTGAAACCATGGCGGTCCACATTATTCTGGAACAAAAACCTTTTCTAAATAGGTGAAATTTTCACTTTTAAGCATTTGGTTACTTTTCTTTCCAACCACCTGACCAGCAGTGCCCATCAACAGTAGAGTTAAGGGTTGCACGTTGTGATTCTATGTTTCATAGAAAAACTGATCAGTTTGGCTCTGATTCATTTACCTCATATTTCAAACTATATGGATGATATCCCGGAATATATTTGTGCAATCTTTGTAAATTATCAACAGTCCAAGGTTGGACTGTATGTTCTATGGGCAATTAGAATCACAACCCTTTAGAGTTTCCACGCTATGCCTTAAGGCAGAGCAGGATACCAGCAAAGTTTGTGGGTAAAATCAATAAAGACCAGAAAAATGGTACAAGAATGGAGGGGGCTATTACCCATGGTTGGAATGTATAAGAAGGACTGTATAAAAGGAGCAAAGCAAGATCTGTTATTGTATGTTTTTATTCATACACTGAGGAGTTGGTAACATGCAGCTGGAGTAGAGAGAGACAAGAAGAAAGTTCACAAATAAGAAAAAAACATCTGAGATGATAAGTTTGTTTAATATAGAAAAAAATAAAATTTTTGGTTTTCATCTGTTAGGAAAATGTTGCTATAAACAAACTTAACATGCACAAATAAAGAAAACAAACACTTTGACTTTTTCTGAGTCTGAACACTTTGCATTGACAACTGCTAATATCTGTTCATAATCTGATATACACATATTCCTGTCTCCCCAGGATACCAAAGTGTCATAATTCAAATCTACGGTATCTTGATTGCTCCTGTGCATGGGTCTGTGTTGTCTTTTAAAGTCATACATACATTAGTTTATTTCTCGTTTTCTTTATCATGTTCATTATTATATCAAAGCACTACTTATATTTTCTGCCATTGGCAAAAACGTCTGTAATTCGTCAAGTCTTGCACACCCAAAGTTTTGGCTTAAACTGGTCAAAATTTGTGTAAACTACAGAAACCTATTATATAAGCCAAAGTTTTACAGCTTTGCACATAATTCTTGATTCTACATATAATCTACAGTGGTGCTATTTTTTGTTTTAGCTCCATCCAGCATTTGCATCTATGAAAAATATTTTTGCTGTACTGCTTTTTTAAAATGTATTTTGCTTATCATCCTGGTCTTGCTATGCCGATGTGCACAATCTCACATGTTGTTAATCACTTTGACAAACACAGCATCTTGAATGTGTTATACATCAAATCAAAGCAGTATGCTGTTCTTGTGCCATCAGTAGGACCTAATCTGAATGTATTAGCCAGTGTCAACTCAGGGACAGAAAATCCATATGCCTCCTCTGTGTGTACTTCAGCGTACAGCAAAAGGAAATAATGGTCCGTCCCTGTGTGTGACGTATTGTGGTAATGACCAATTTGCTAATCAAGCCAGCTGGCGGCTGGCAAACCACAGGTCTCTCAGAAAATATTGTCTTCAAATGGGAGTATTTGCTCATATTTTCTGCTCACAAGACTGAGCATGTTGACAGTCCTGAGTGTGAATCCTTTTTAAATGGGTGTATTTTAAAGACAATGATTAAATATCTAATTCAACAACTGCTTACTTTTTCTCCAAATCCATTATTATTATGGGAGAAGAGATCTGAAGAGCAATTTAGTTCTTAACATGTAAGACTAAAATAATATGCAAAACACCATACATCATTTATAGCAAAATGGGAGTGGTAGGGAAGTTCTTCCATGAAACATTACTGCCATCTAGTGCAAACAACAAGAAATGGCATGCATCGCTTAATGCATCACAGATTCGGATTAAAATGTGCTACAAATTCACTCAAGGAAAATTAGAGTTATCAACAAGTTGCTATTAAAGCAAACTGGGCTTCTGTATCATCTCAGAGAAGTAACTCCCAGCCATGACATTTTTTCTGTAGGTCATGCAAAAGGAGCTCAGTTTTATGCTGAAAGCATAATACAATACACAATATATTAGTACAGATGTAAGTAAGCTGAGATGTCTGTGTGAAAAAAAAATAATTGTTTTTATTATTTATTTTTGATGTATTTTACTTTCTTAGGGCTTGCAATAGCTGTAAGCCAACATGTTTCCAGGAAAAACAGAAAAAAAGACTTTAACTCTACCCCAAACACTGTCTTTTTTTAATCTACTAAATTATTTTTTTGCCACTCTACCCTATAAATCTTTATACTGTGGGTAATTTAGATTTACAGCCACTAGGGGGAGCCAGAAACGTGTTTTGTAATTATGATTTTATCAGATAACTCAGACTTTTAAACTTAGACAACTTTTATATATACTTTTATTTGCCCAAAAAAACAAACAAAAAAAAAACTCTAAATCATGTCACAGACTCTTTATTACATCAAACCAGAAAAACTGCATATTTGCACAATCTATATTAATGCTCTGAATGCTCCATGTTTTTTCTCCCACAGTGTTTAAATTTGATCACTGCTGTACTTTTTGGAATGGAAATGTTCATTTACTGTACTAAATGAAATTTCATTTTGTATAAACTCTGTGTATACAAAATGACAATAAAAGTTGTCTTAGTCTAAGATAATTAGACCGAAGACCAGATATGCATAGAGAAACAAAAGGTTATTTTATTTGATCTTTTTATAGCGTTTCTTTAGTCTCTTGTTTTTACATGTCAAGTGTTGCATAACATCTCCTCAATAAGCACAGAACAGACAAACCAATAAAGACCAGCTTTATTTTCGTCATATTGCAATAGCTAGATACAAGAAAAGTCTTCCAAAAAGAGGACAAAAAGTGTTCAGTTAACCAGCTGAAAATAGATTCTGAATACATTTCTGAAAGACGAGCACAGAGTTGTCACTATTTTAGCAAGGATTAGTTTTTCCCCCCCCCCATTTTCCGTTGTTACAAACTAATCAAGTTGAAAAAAGTGCATCTGTTGTTTAGTCCAGCTGTTCTGATGTTTTCAACAGGATTAACATCCCAGACTTACAAATCCTTAAAGTCAGAACTCTTCAGGATGTCTTTATAAATTGCCTGAGATGGAACAAAAATGAAGCTTTTGACGTTGTATCAAAGTTTTTACAGAAAAAGCAACATGAGACCTGTTCTCCAGTTGAAATGTTAGAAAAATTAAAGTGTTTTCTACTGTTCCAACTGTCTGCAGTACTTCTTTTTCTTTTCAGTTTCTCATAGACATGGATAGTTTGTTTTGTTATAGCCACCGTTTAAATCATAGGTAACCTGAGGTATGGAGCAGTCTGGGAAGAAGCTTGGAAAGGCCAAGGTACACAGTCCACTGTCATCTATTGGCCCAGAAGGGTCCTCAGCCTGACCATAGCCTGGAAGCTGTGGTGGGCCTGTTCGCAGACCCTCCCCTGGTTTTTTACAGGGTCCGGAGCAATTAGTCCAGGGATCAGGGTAGAGTAGACCACTAACTAAATGGTCATATGAAGCAGGGTCTAGGCCTCCCAGATCTTGTTGCACCCTCAGTGGCATGGCCTGATAAACATCCTGCTCATTCACCATGTTGCTGTAGTCTGGCCCCAGGAGCTCAAAGAACTCTGCAGCCTCTGGGTTCCCCCGTTCCAAGTCCTTCAGCATCATCCCGGATGTGGAGCTAACCCTGGAGCAGTTGGCAGGCTCGGTAAAAAAAGACGGAGGCAGATTACGGTGCCTCAGGGGGGGTTTCTTTGCTTTCTCCCCCCTTATTTCCTTCACAGGGCTGAAGAGAGCAGCCAGGCTCTTACTCTGTAGGTTGGCTTGCCCCCCTTCTCGCTTCTGTAGAGTTTTACTCTGTAAAGGGCCCTGCTGATTTACTGGGGAACTCTGTCTTTTCACCGGCGCTTCTGATGTGTTTCCTGGTGATATGATACCAGTGCAGCGTTTGATCTGCTTTTGCAGATACTTCCGGTGGTTGACTTTCCTTTTGGATTTCACCGGCTTGTCCAGAGCCAGCTTGATGTTGCTGGAGGCCGAGTCTATGAAGCTCAGCAAGTCCCTCGTGGTCTCTTTGAAGTCTTCATCATTCTCCGCCTCACAGAGCAGACTACAATCCAGACTCTTTTCCATGTCGTACTCCATCACAGAATCGGGGAAGCAAAAACTCATGAACTGGGGGTTCATGATTGCAGTTTGAACCGCCATAACTCTCTCGAGCCCGGCGGCTACACCTGTGGCATCCACTGTGATCCCTGAACTGAAAGTTTCTTCAGAGCATGACTTTCTTCCACGGATAAACACCTGCCCCTGGTGCTGTTCATGAAGTTTCCACAAACAATCCAGATTGGAAGTGACGGCCTCTGATGATGAGGATGGGGATCTTTCAGGGGGCAGGACTGATGATGTCAGAACATCAAAGAGGAGGAGCAAATTGAACCAGAGGACTTAACTCTTTGCTTGTGCCTAACCACCTGCATCTAAGAGGGATTTGTCTAAAATTTCCCACTGAGTAGAAGACAATAAGCTCTGTCAGAGTGCTCCTCCTTTGGTTTTACTGTCGGTGTGCGCTCTGAACCATGACAGCTTTTGTGATACCCTAGGATATGACTGAAATAGTGAGAAGAAAAGGCTTTCAAGTCCTAGTTTATGCTGTTTAATATTTCACAACCAATGCTGCAACTAAATTCTATCAATAACTCAGAAATTCAAGCAACCCTAATTAACTCTTAAAATGCCAAACTAGATAAATGGATGTGAAAACAAATGGTTTTTTTTTTTTTCATTTTTGTCACACTTTTGTCACACTTAATTAAAACATGTATTTATTGTCTAACAAAAAGCAGTTTTATTTATTGGTGGGATTAAAGGTTCATCCAAAACCAGGTCTAACTGAGATAATAATTAGCCCCTAACTGGCTAATAATAATAACTGGTTATGACAGCTGCCTTCAACGATTTGCAATAATTGGCAATAAGTCTTTCTATTACTGTGTAAATTTCACTCACTTTTCTGGTTTTGTAGAATTGTTTTAATCCTGCCGCAATGAAAGATTTTCCTCCGTTTTTCTAAGTTTCAAAGTAAAAACTGTAAGCTTGATTCAGGCAGTGCTTTTCATACGCTGTTATGGGATTTTTTTTTTTTTTTCTGGACCCCTGGATGAGTCGTTAATGTGTTTAAAAGAGTTTTTGACTGGAAATGTACCTCACTACATTAATACGTTATATTTATACAGTAGATGATAGCCGTCACCATGGTTACGGGAACCATAAATATGGTAAGTGATGTGTACTTATATAGCGCTGTTTCTAATCAGGAGAATTGACCAAAGCGCTTTACACTACATTCAGTCATTCACCCGTTCACACACACATTCACACCTTGATGATGGCAAACTACATTGTAGGCATAGCTGCCCTGGGACTGACTGACAAAAGCAAGGCACCACCATCAGTAGGCAATACAGGTGAAGTGTCTTGCCCAAGAACACAACAACACTGAAAGTCAGAGCCAGGGCTTCAACCAACAACCTTCTGTTTGCAGGGCAAACGCCTACATCCGACGCCACTGACTTCATAAACTGTAAAAGCTGGTAGATAACATGGTTTTTCTCCTTTTGTATTTAGAGCCAGATACAGTATAATGTTTTTGCTTTCTGAGAACTTTTGGCCAACGTCATGTTCTTGCTAAGAAATGCTGTTCATTAAATTCAATTCACACTTTTAACAAGAAAAAACATTACTTATATATTTGGGAACAAGTTGGCTTGGATACAATTTTTCACATAATTATTAAAGTTTTTAAAACTGCTTTTGAATTGACTGAGGTTATCTTTATCTGATGTTCTCTATCTAAAGGAAACCACTAAGAATGAAAGAGCATAAGCATAACAGCACTGCATAATTTTTAAGGTAGCATCTAGGGGAAATGTTATTTTCACCCAAGGAAACTGTAAAATATTGATTGAATTTGCCATGTACTTTTAAGAAAAACTTTGCCAGGCTTTAAATCTAAAATACAATAACCACAACTTTTTACCCCAAAGTGTAGCTTTAGCTTTATTACCTAAGTAGAAAACTACAGTTTCAAGAAGTTGTTGCTTTTCTGTGAGAAAATCTTTGTCCTCAACCAGATGCCAATATGTTGGAGAATCCTCCCAACTGCTTGCTTGTTGTCTTAATCTGCTCATGGCAAAAGTTGATTTCTAGTGCATTCCCAGGCCAGTGGGAATTTCTGCCCTGGTCTGACAGCTATTATGGGCCGCCTTTGACATAAAGCCCTTGCGGGGTCTAAATAGCCCTCTATTCTTCGGGCAGCACTGAAAGGGAGCTTTGTGCCAGAGATTCATTAAACTGCACCTCACAGCCCCTTCGTAAAACGGGTCTCAATAATGAACAGTCGATTTAACTAGAAAAGCTGCCGGAGCTGTTAAATTAAAGGGGAATAAAGTGCAGTTGGGGCTCAGTGTGCCAGAAGAAATGTTGACCTTAAGAAATCCTGGATATGAAACTGCTGCTGTAAACAGTCATGTGTTTAGAGGAAGTTTCATTGCCAGCAGTATATACAACAGATGATGTGTCCAACAGTCAGTTTTTTTGCCAGCTCTTAAAGTTCTTTAAAGTAGGTTTTGAGCTTAAAAACAAATTAAGGGACACACCCTTTATCTATCTAGGGATTGGCATTTTTTCCTTTGCCCAACCATTTGATAGAAGTTATCCCTTTTTCACTGAGAAGAAAAAAGAACAACAGGCCAGTAAATTTCCAGAAAGACTGAGTTGTTTAAGTGTTTAAAAGATAAAATCAGTGAAGCAGAGCAATTTTCTTTCTCATGTTAATTCCCAGGCAGAAAGGAGATTATGCAACCGTTTGGCCAACACAACTCTCTGGACTGAAAAGAAACCTAAACACCACAAATACTGGTGTAGCAAAAGCAAATGTGAAGATCTGGACCAATGCAACTCTGATGTAAGGCACCTTAACATTAATTTACACGCATTGCATTTTTCCAAACTAACATGATCCAACTGTAATCTGCAGTGCATTATACTGATTTCTTATGAAATACCAATACAGAGTTCCAAATGAGTAAAAACTATGTTTTATTTTCTTTTACAAATAAAAACAAATCTGAAAGGTGTGGCCTGCTAAACAGCTGGTCTGCAAAAATTGAAATCTTTGAAATCTCAGAACACTGATGCATATGTTTGCTACCTTATAAAAGAGTATGCATCCATCTAAACTGATCCAGGAGCATTAATCAGAGAATCCACCTAAAGGACAGTGGTAAGTGAAGAGCTGCAAAGCCGCACCACTTTGTGCTGGGGGAGATCTGTCAATAAAACAAACTATAAAGTTGTGCTGTGCACAAATGTATGCCTTATGTAAAGTGGCAACATTCATGAAAAATTAATAAGAAGTCATATTTGCAGGCTGCTTCAAGGGGACTAGAATGCTCTGCTCAGATGATACCATAAGCAGTATGTGTGGTGAAAAACTAGAACTGTATATCACCCTGAAGACACTCTCCCTCCCTAGCATGAAACATGGCGGTGGCGACGTCATGCTGTGACAATGCTTTTCTTCTGAGACGACAGAAAAGCTTGACGGAGTTGATGAGAAGATGGAGCCAAAAAACTGTCACTGTTTGAGGCTGCAAAAGAACTCGACAATAGCATCAATGGCTTTAAACATACAGTACAGCCAGCGCTACAGTCTTGGATGGTTTCATGTGTAAGAAAAGGCAGATCAGATTCCAGATCAGAATTCTATTGGGAATCCATGGTAAAAGAATTCATGTACGCAAATACAAATTTGGGGAAGCTGTTCCCCTTAAAGACTTGCAGCTTTAAATCCAGCAAAAGGCAATTCTACAAAGAGTTTAGTTAAAGGAAAAGGAGTCAATTTTACTTTAGAAACTTTTCACAAATTTCATGCTTTATCAATTAAAACATGTTAAACCCATTTTCTCTCTGCTTTGCAATGATGTTCTTGAATATTGGGTAAAATCCTAATAAAATACTTCAGAATAAATTAATTATATGACATGTAAAGGTGTTTAAAAGATATATCTTTTTTTTTCTTTACTAGTTGCAGGGTTTTGGCAAAGTGACATAATCACAGTGAAGGAAGCAACCGCAACCCTTTTTTTTTCTTATTAGGGGGTCTTGGCTTTTGTACTGGTAGGTCATTCAGACCATGGAGTCTGACGCAGAGATCCCGGAAACAAGTTCCTATTGTTGCACTAAGGCCGAGGGAAAGGGAGGGGATGGGTAGAGACAGCCATGCTTAGAAAACAGAAACCAAGAGCACAGTTTAGAAGTCTTTACATTTAAACCCTGAAGACATTCTAAATCGTTTTAAAATTTTTATTGCAGTGTTAACTCCCAATAACTAAATGTTGGACGGCTTATTATGGGTAATGTAATTTCGCAAACTTTTCTCTTTTCCTCGTTTTTTTCTGCCCTGCTTATTAGCTTTTACTTATTCAGCAGAACTAAACCCTGAATGAGTGAGAAGGGACAATGTGATGTGACATGCACAAGCTTAATCTTATCCTAATAGTGTGTGGTCTGTCTAAGCAGGGACAAACTCAAGAGCTTGAGCTCGGGCGAATACTAATAACATCTCTGATTGATGACGATTGTCAGGGAGCGAAAAAAAGAGCCACCAAATTAATGACCTCTCAAAGTCCTGAGAAACGTTTTTTCGAAGGGCATTTAGTGCCAGAGACCCCGTCCTCCCCCATGTTTAGAAGTGACTAACTCCACTGAGGAGTCTGAGATTCATTCCAGGCTGTGACAAACTGCTTTAAGTTGGGCTTTGTGACGACTCCTTGTGGAAAATAAACTCACATACCAGCGCAGCACTGGTTTGCCCTCATCTCCTTCACAAGGTCATGTTTGGGTCAGGAACTTTTGCTTCAAGGGGTAACAAGTTTAAAGAGAAATATGAGTAAACTAAAAAAAAATGTCTGTGAAGGTCTGCATCATCTCACTGCATCACTTTTAACCTTCCAACAACCCCTCACAGCCTCTGCAGCACTGCTGGAAATGGATTAATAATATAACTAGCAGGGGGGCTTAAAAAGTCTTCAGAGTCTACAGGCTGTCCTGGTTCCACAATTTAAACTTTTAATAGCAGCCGGGGAATGAATGTGTGCCAAGGGGAATCCCACAGGTTGGGCCACAGGGGTAAGGTCAGCAGCCATAACCGCAATAACCTCCCACTACTTGCTTTATTGGCCTCCTCCGATTGTTTTTTATTAAATCTCGAGGATATTCATTTGCTCTTTCTTGGTGAAAATGAAACTTTATGGCTAAAATCTTTTCATAAACATGACAAACAGTCTCTCCAGCACGGCAATCCCACATCTGTATCAAAAACAAAACAAAAAACAGCACAGTATCTTGCAAACATATTTACATATAAAGATTTCCTCATGTTTTATTTCTTGAAACAATCTGATTCTTTTTTTCTTGTATTTAAATGACTGATTCATCTAAATAAAATCCAATACATCAATCTGCCTTCAGATATTAATCAGTTGATTTTCTTTTTTTTCTTCTTCTTCATGTGTCTGATTTGTAAATACAGCTGTTCTGTGAAAGATTCATGGAGAACATGAGTAAATAAAGATCATAAGAGCAAGGAACACATCCAACAGTCTGGCAACAGAAAAGTTAAAAGCAGGGTTTACCTCATTTGACTCCAGAGGAGCTGCAAGGATTAACAGCTTAAGCAGGACAATCTATTGACATAACAAGTATTAGCCCTGGACTTCAAAAATTGAGGGTTTATGTAAGCTTGGCAAGGAAAATAAAGACAGGAAAATTCTCCAAACAAAAACGAAAAAAAACAACTTTGGGCTGATCCTGAACCTTTTTGCATGATCAAAGCTGCTTGTTATGCAAGGCGCAAATAGATTTGTCTGTTCAAAATCAGCAGCCAGCAAGAACATCCCTATTTTTATTGCTAACTGCAATAAAATATTATTTTATAGATTATGCACAAGGTACAGTTAGGTTTTTATTTAACAATTATAAGCTCACTTTATTCAATGCAATGATGATCTAGAAATAAGTAAGATGTCCTTTAATTAAGTGTATTTACTCTTAGTTTGAGTACCGGTAGGTACATAAGTTGATTTGTTGATGGAATTATTATATTTACTCTTAAATTAGATAATTAGATAATATGCAGTTGTTGTTTTTTTATTTTAAATATAAATTGTCTTGTTCCATTGGCAGTGTCTCACTTACGTCCCTCCTCAATTCAAGAAATGCACTTATTTTAAGAAAAAATTATTTAATTTCAATTATTTTTGGTGCTGAATGATTTGGTAAAGGAAACTTTTGCTGTTTAGAAAGCAATCCTGCTGTAAAACTGACTTCTTCTGACCAGCACCACAGACCAGCTGTCTCACTGTGGAGTGTGGAGGCTGCAGCGCCTTAGACTGGAAAAAGGTGAGGAGAGTGGTGAGAACAGCAGAGAGGACCATCGGGGCTCCTCATCCATTCATTAAAGATATTTCGTTGCAGCACTGCGTGTCCTGAGCCCCTAACATCATAAATGACCCCTCACACCCCCACCATGGACTGTTCTCCCTGCTGCCCTCTGGGAAGAGACTTTGAAGCATTTGATGCAGGACCAGCAGGTTCTGCAACAGCTTCTTCCCCACTGCCATCAGACTGGTGAACTGTTGAAAACTCTAATAGTCACAAATCAAGACTCTGCATCACACTACATGGCACATTTTCAAATCCCTTTAAAAAGAACTCAGCTCAGAGATCTACTGCATTTTGCTCCATATTTTATTATTTAGCATTGCTCTGAACCTTCCATATCAATGCCTTTTGCACCATGTATTTTAACTGGATCTCCTTTTCTCCTAAACAGTTTACATTTTCATCACTGCTGCACTTTATAAATGGAAATGTTCATTTCACTGCTAACCTGCTGATCCACTGCTGAAAAGCTGTACAGTATGCATCAAAATTCTGTTTTGTGTAGACTCTGTGTATAAAAAATGACAATAAACTTTGTCTAAGTCTCTGAGTAAGTCTAAGTTCTCTCTCAGAGAAGACAAAGATAACCAACACTGTTGATTGATGTGAAAAGAATATCCCCATGGTGTAGACAGCTACATGCTGTGGAGACATTCTTCTTAAAAAGGGTCAGGAAAGCTCTACTGCTCTAAGCAATAACACAGTGGTTCATAATACTGGTCCAGTCAAAGTCCAGATCTAAAACAAAGTCATTTTAGTGACCTATGAATGATTTTCAGACACTTTCCATTCAATCACTGATCTTGTGCTGTTTAGCAAACATGAGTGGGAAAACCTTTTTGTTAGATATGCAATGCTTACAGAAACCTATTGTAAAAGACCTGTTAACTAAAAATGCAATGCATTGATTCGAGTGAATACAAATATTTTCTTTTAGCTCCACAGTCGTCCACTTTGGGGTAGTCTATCATCTGAGATAATGTATTAATAAAACACCTACAGAATTTAGTGTGAAACACAATGAAATGCTGAAAAAGTCAAATAGGGTATGAGAAGTTTCAGAAGCCACTGTTTGTTGTTTTGACTAAATGTAATTTATAACATCTACTGTAGAACAATAGAAAAAATGCCCCCCCAAAAAAACATCACTTAAAATGCTTTAACAGAGAATTTTATTTTATTATTAATCTTAATGCAGCAAATACATTCAATTCAAAGAATTTAGTTCATATTTGGTGTCAGAATTTTTTCCTGAAGATCATTTCCAAAGTCCTGATTTGCAAAAAAGAAAAATATCATGTGGGCAGAAAAGCCATAATTGATTTTACTTAAAATTAATTCATACACACAAAAATGTGCCAATATTTGCCAAGTCATTATAATGAGAGTTTGAGTAACTGAATGAGAAGTATATTTATTGTAGCATCTTTGCAAAAATGAAAAGCAAAACATTTTACCCATTTAAAATGGAGTGTTTCTAACTAGATAAAAAATAGCAAACAAAATGACATTTCCAAAAAACAGAAAAAGATTCAGAAAAAGGCAAAACTTTGGCATCATTTTATTAGATAGCACCTTACGAATCTCCATGTCGCCCCGGTTGACGTTAAATATTACAGTTCACACCAGTAAAGATCTTATGTAAACATTTTCCAGTTTTTGGAAATGGACGGTCTAGTTCCAGTTGATTTCTGAGCTTGCCTGATCCACTTCTGAAAGTACTTGAGCTCTAAAGCTCTTGCATCTCGGACCGAAGGTGGATCGAGTTTGTTGCTGTAGCGGAGGTCCAAATGGTGAGCGCCATCAGGAATCAGAATGGAAACCAGAGACTGTGTTATGTTGGATGTCACTCCACCAGCTGACCATGGATCAAGTCCTCCGTTACTAAAACATCAACATGAGAGACAAACACTTAGAAATGTATGCAAATTCCAACCTGTTGCAACATTGATAATTGGGTATATTAACAGAATGTGAAAGACTGCATTCCTGGTTTAGAAGATAAAGCATGCTAAAATTCTGGAATTTGCTCTCAACCAACCCTGAATACAAATAACTGGCTTTTTTTTATAAGACAGGTGTCCTAGGGAAGCAACTAGTTTAAAAAAGATTTACCATATGTGAGAACAAGTCTAATTTCCATTCAGAGGGATAAAGGAAGCCTGTTAATGTTCTCGTTTTGTCTGTTTTTAACCAATTAAGGTAATTTTTAAAACTCATTGACCCTGGATCACTTATTTCTGGAAATAAATAAGATTAATGGTATGGTACTGGCTAACACAGCCAGTCTTCGTGCTCAATCAAGGTTTAAATAGCCTTGATTTTATTATTCATTTATTATTTAGATTGGACTTCTGATTTTCAGTTCCATTTTAGTTTGAAGTATTATCACGTTTATTATGTTTAGTTTTTATTTTTTGAAAATGCCTATAGTTTTAGTCTAGTTTATCTAATACCATTTACATTGTGTGGAAATAAATAAATAAATATAAAATAATAATTAATAATAATAATAATAATAATAGTAGAAAATATCCCAGATAAGGACAGACCAGCAACACAAAAAGGATCTGACATACTTGCCATCTGCTGACGTTATGGGGTATGGAAAAAAATATATATATTTTTAAAGTGAAAACAGCAACTAGAGACTAGTCCTCATATTCACATTGTGATAAAGACACAAACTAAAACTAAGCACATTCTCTCTTATAATTTAGTTTTAATTAATTTTGTATACTTTTGTTTGGTTAGTTCTCTTTGTTCTGTAAGGCCCACTTCTTATTTTTATTTCAGTAAACAAAAGTGTCTTTAAATTCTACTTTTTGTTACTTGGTTAGTTGACAATAATAATGTTGCACTCAATTTCATTTTTATTCTGAAATCCAATATTTTTCGTGATGGTCTTTTATACTAATTAATGCAACCCCCATCAGAGTTCATTCTGAATGATTCGGGGCATTAAAGTGACGCGCTCACACAGAATGAAAATGTAGATGTCACAAAATAGTGTACCCTTTATTAAAGTAATCAAGGATGTGACTGCTACTAAAAGTGTTCAATAAAGCCTTGCTGGAAATAAAATCAAGAAAAAAAAATGCTGATGATTCTGTGTTATTATTAATCTCTTGAGCAGCATGAGCTCACAGTTTAATGGCCCCATCATCATCATCATACAAGAGTGAGAAAAAACAATCCATCTTTCAACAACAGAGTTTAGCATAGCAGTCAAATAAAATGTCATGTATCTATTGTCATGTATTTGCTTCATATAGCTAAAATTTTCATCAATATTTGATATTTTCTATTAGAGTATTAATCTGATGGACTCAGAAACTGCATCTTTGCTTTAGAACTGTGGTAGGATGTCACACATCATCTCTCTCAAAAAAAGCAGAAGGATCTTACCTTCATCCTGTTATAAATAAAATAAAATAAAATAAAAAAACGAACAAATAAAGTCCTGAAATTAAGATTTCACAGAAATAATGTCTAAAGAATAAAGGAAAAAATCAATTCATGATTTGCCTTCAAATTTCCATTTTATAATAGTTTACACCGATTGCTGAGATTTTGCAAACACTGATGAGGGATTAACTGAAACACTAAGAGAATATAAGGAAAAGTGCTGTGACCTACAATGGATATAAAACAGAGGGCCTTCCATGTCTAGACTATTGGTCTTCTATTGTGATGGGAGATCTTCTCAAAGTTTAAGGTTTGTGATATAGGAGCTATTTAAATGATCTACTGGCCTCTACAGGAAAACCTTAAATGGGTATTAATTAGGTCTATTAGCAGGATAATGCTCCTTAAAATATGAAAAAATAACCACAAAAATTATTTTTGTCTAGTATACCCCAGTTGTGAGGTACGTTCCTAGCCTCACCTATGGTCATGAAATCTGGATCATGACCGAAAGAACGAGATCCCGGATACAAGCGGCTGAAATGAGCTTTCTCCGCAGGGTGGCTGGGCTCTCCCTTAGAGATAGGGTGAGGAGCTCAGTCATTCGGGAGAGGCTCAGTGTAGAGCCGGTTTTCCTCCATATCGAGAGGAGTCAGTTGAGGTGGCTCGGACATCTTCTTCGGATGCCCCCTGGATGCCTCCCTCGGGAGGTGTTCCAGGCACGTCCCACCGGCAGGAGGCCCAGGGGACGACCCAGGACACGCTGGAGAGACTATGTGTCTCGGCTGGCCTGGGAGCGCCTAGGGCTTCCCCCAACAGAGCTGGAGGAGGTGTCTGCGGAGAGGGAAGTCTGGGAGTCTCTGCTTAGTCTGCTGCCCCCGCGACCCGGTTCCGGATAAAGCGGGAGACAACGAGTACGAGTACCCCACTTGTTAGTTTTCTCTATTGGATAATCATATTAGTATCTCAATGGCAGTGACCATAGCTGCATTTATTTCAACCTCTAATTTAATTTGCACCCATTACAACCACAAGTGTTAATGAAAAGGAGAATCATTAATCAGGACAGCTCTGACCGATTTCCTGCTGTTTGGTTCTAACATTGATGAAGAGGATGTGTCTACATTTGTTAAAACCTTTGACAATCATTGTAAATCTATTTCAAAAGCGTTGGCGTTTTAGGTAAAACATCATAAAATTTTTTAAACATTTATCTTGGATGATTGAAACTATGAAGAAAAATGGCATCACAAAAAACATAGGAAATATTTTTGCAAAGTTGAACGCCTGGGAAAGGTATAGAAACTTATGGAAAAAAGTTTAATTTTCCCAGATGACATGTTAAAAAAAAGCCACACTGTTTATTTTGCAAACCTCATTGCTTCTAAAGAAAGACACCCTGAAGCCCTGTTTGGTACCGATAAGATGACGGTGGCGCCTGATGTCCCTCAGGTTCGAGTCAATACTAAATCCGACTGCAGTTGTTTCTACATTATTTTTAAAGATGCTCATTTAGGTTTAGCAATTGTCCTTCAACATTTCTTTTACATATAATATAGTACAAAACCTGTCATTTTTAACTTGGTCTGGTTTTAATTCTGTTACTTTCCAGGATATTAGTTGCTTTGTTGTATGAAAACAAAAGCAAGCTCTCTTGATGTCCTCCGATTTATCAATGTGTTTGATTGAAGTGAGCCCTGTTTACGTAAAGATTCTTCATCTTTTGTGTTGAATGTGCATAGTAAATGTATATACTGTAGTAAATGTGTATAGTAAATGTGCATAGCCCTTATTGATTTTTAACAAGCAATTGTTAACATGATTTTAAAGAGATCTCACATTGCTCACTCATTACACAGCAGTTATTACCCAATATCTAATATCAAGCTTTTTTCAAGAGGGTTTAATGCATAAACATACTTATTTTCTAAAGAGCAACAATATATTGGACAACTTACAGTCTGGGTTTCATGACATTAACTCAATGGAAACTGCTTTGCTTAAAATATGTGGGGACTACGCAATTGCAGCTGACTCAAGAGAGTATTCAGTTTTAGGCCTTTTGGACTTGAGGTAGTTCATCATGTCATCTTGATTAACAGGCTCACATATTTCAGATTGCCTGATATTGTTTAACAGTAGTTTATATTTTACATTTCAAAAGAGATTTTTCAGGGTTTTCATAAAACAAGTGTTCTCAGACTCTTCAGACCCAGATGTACATCCATACCTGTTCTTGTTCCAATCCTATTTTTACTTTACATTGCAACATTAGCAACATAAGGCTGGATCATTCGCTGTTTTAATTATGTTTTGTGTGATTTATATGCCGATGACACAGTTATATCGTTCCTTTGAAACCCTAGATTGTTTGAATACCAACAAAATTAAAGCATCTTAATGATTAAAACTAATAAAGATTCCTGAATTCTAAGTTCAGAAAGCACATCAACTACCTAGGATCTGTTTTTCATTAAAATCTCAGAGATCTTGATGGAAATTTCTTGATTACCGTTCAAATCAATTAGCTCAAAAAATGTTTTATCAATAAATAATTATCGGTATTAGGAAGCTCAAATCTACCGTCTTTTGTTGTGAATCAGAAATGGTTTTTTGCTTTTAGTCTGTCTTTGTTGGATTATTTTAATGGTTCCTTTACCTGTTTTAACAAATTTGCTGTGAATTGCATTTAGATTGTGCAGAATATTATAGCAAGACTTTTCACAGGGATAAGCAGAAGAGCTCACATTCCAGCCTTAGCTTCATTCGACTGGAGTTAATTTGAAGTGTCATAATAAACATTTTGAAACTTTTAGAGCCCTGCATGATTAGACCCCCAATAAATAGGTCTTCAGCCCAAGATTTCTGAGTTCTAAGATTATTTATAACTTATTTCTCATGTGTTCTGTGAAGAACTTGGTACGTTTTTTTCCCCCATAAAACCTAAATGAATAAAATTCTACTTACTTACTTAAAAGTATAAAAAAGAAAAGGAAAGGCAAAAAACAGAGGCTAAGCAAGGAAAAAGTTCTTATTTAAGTCATCAATAACCCCCTAAAAAAAACCACTGGCATTGCCTGTATTTCAGCATGTTTTCATACCTGAAGATAATGTTGCTATGGGAACCAATCTTTTTTCCCCCATACACCGTGCCAGCCCAATCGGCGCGAGGCCTGACACCGAAGACGGAGTTACACTCATCAGAGAAGGCCTGGAAGTTCCACTCCTCTGGTTCAAACATGTCCTGGACTCCATCTGTGCACATTGGCATCACCATCTCTGTGCAAGCCTGAGGTGAAGGGATTAAACACACATTTACTCTGAGAGGTAAACCTGCAGACTAATATCTCTGTAAATCCCTAAGCTGTGTACCTGGAAGAACCAGCCGAGGGCACCGAGGCTGCCGGTTGCCGTCTGAGATGTATTCAGGCAAGGAGAGTTTCCAGTGTAGTTGTAGTAGACCTTTGCTGCTTGGGCAACACCTTGTAACAGCTGGTAGTCTGATACGGTGGAATTGAAATTGAGATACTTGCACACCACCTTCAAAAAACAGCAGATTTCAAAAGTCAATTTGCTCCCCTCACAAATCTGTATCTATATTATGTGTGTTTATATTTTAAATTAGTTAAATGTATATTATTTAATTATTTTATTGACAAAAATCCCGTTTTCAAGCAAAACAAAAACAACTTTTTCTCCTAAGAACTCAAAAGATGGAGGAGCTACTATTATATAGTTTCTAAGGAGCAGCGATACCAATGTGGTATGTGTGCAAATATCTTTAAAGTGTCAGGTATGAAACCGCCCAGACTCCAAAGGTAGAAAAGGCAAAGGGGTGAAATGGCCCCCGCTGTTTAAAAGCAGAAGAAAAACAACTGAGATTGGTCCAAAACAAAGTTAGGTCATCTTTTAGAAGCTCTGTGTGAGTAAAAAAAAGATTCAGGCATCCGACTGTTAGATTTAAGTTCTTTACGAGTCTAAAGAATGCTTTTCTTGAGGGCCATAAATTGTTTTTCTATGCATAAAGGTGGCGCCTGATTTGCATATGAAACTGCCTGGAATGAACTTGAATTTATTACTTAGGGAAAAAAAAGACAAGTTAAATAACTCAAAAATGTCACAGGGTTTAGGTCTCATTCCTGTTTTCTTTGACTAGCTGATTTCTCTGCGTTATTAACATGAGTGATAAATATTTGCGTTTCGGCTCCTGTTTGATTTCGCTGCGTGTTGTTATGGTTGCAGCGGCAGAATTGGCCAGCGCTGTTGTTCTGCACCTTTTGTGAGGCAGAAAAACTGGGCTCTCTTTATTTTTAGAGGTTGGAGGGGATCGGCATCAGAGTGGAGTTTGTTACTAAGGCTTTTGTTTTGGGCAGGGGAGGAGTTGGTGGTCGATGGCTGAGGAGGGCCACAGACATGTCCAACTAAAGATTTATACTGTGGAGAGAAAAAAAACCCACAGCTCCAAAGCACCTTCTCCGTACTTTTCAGATAGGATTAGTTTTATACATTCATCTCTGCCAACAGATTTCCCTCCTCTAAGCCTTCAATACCCCGTTCTCACACACACTCAGATAATCACATTAGCTTTGTCATTAAAAAAGCTCCTCTTTGCACCCACTGCCTAAACCGCTTAAACCACCCATAGGGGTTGCATACATTAAGATAAAGAAGCCAAAAAAATAAAAGTGACCATTTAGTGCTCATTTCACATGATGTAACATGATGCTCATGGTTCTTTTCAATGGCTCAAAAATAAATAACAGAAATGTATCAGAGTAGAGGAAGACAGATTCCGGTGGGGAACCCTGGGATGCAAACTAAAGGACTATAAAGACAGACAGCATTTACTATACACCTATGAAAGTGCACTGCCCCCAAATAAAGTTGCAAAAACATTCATTGCCTTTTTTTTCTATTTATCCCATTACCTCCATGCATTCATTTTGATTATATGTGATAGAACTAGGGCTGAAACAATTATTCGGATTAATTGTGATTGATCACTTATTGTAATAATCCATCAACTAATTTAGTAAACGCCTAAACTAAAATAGACTAAAATAGACGGACTAAAATATGCCTTTAGGTCACTGATCAACCAACCCTTGAGCAGCAATAATACAAAAATTTAAAAGAAAAAAAAAAACAAATATAAAACTTTAGCATTTAAGATAAAATAGCTTTTTCGTCTGTCAATATGCTCTATTCAGAAGTCCTCAAGCTGAAATATTTTAGTTACACCTGGTTTAATTTAGTAAAAAGTCTTTGAAAAAACCGTTTGCTATTTGATTATTAACAACCGACAGATTAATCGATTTGCAAAATAATTAGTTAGTTGCAGCCCTAGATAGAACCACACAAAGAAAAGCATGAATACAAATTTGAGAAGTACTGTATAGCAGGCCCCTTTACATTCAATTTCCTCAATAAAAAACCCTATTAGTAAGTCATTAGTAAGACACATATGAGACCAAAATCAACTTTTTGGCCTACAGGAAAAATGCTTTGAGAGAAAGGGGACTTAAACTGCACCGTAAAGACACCATTCCACCATGGCAGTGGTCATACTTCAGGAAGGACAGGGGAGGTTCTCAGGGTTATGAAAAGATAGATGGCGCCAAATACTGGGCAATCATTTAGTAAAAACCTGGTGACCCCAAAAGGCTTGAAACTGGGGTAGAGATTTGTCTTTAAGGGGAATGACTTGGAATATACACCTCGATCTACAGGAGAAGGGCTCCGGTCAGAGTAGAATTATGAGTTAGAATTTCAGTGTGAAGGTTTACACATCAATTTAATTATGAATTTTTAAAAAAAGTGATGTCCAACGATGCCATTTGCCCAATCTGACTTACCTTGTTCAAAAACAAATTAGCGAAAACTTTGATCAATCTACAAAAGCTCAAAGCTGAAAGAGAAGCATCCCAAATACTCAAAGCTGTAATTGCATTAAAGAAGCATAACGACTTTCTATTTAAAGTTTGATTGTGACTTGACTTTTCTAATAGATCTTAACAGGCTCTATTTCTCTTTCACATGAAGCACATCTAGGAAAAAGATATAAGAAAGAAATTTAAAAAGAAATAAATTACACAACTAAACCCGAGCTAGGCTATAAAACAACGTATTTCCCAGTAAATGGATCCAAAAGTCTTTACCTGGATTGGCCAGGCAGGCAGGGGCTGAAGGAAATTGGCTTCGTACGGATAGTCCACCATGGCCAGATTCACCCAGGTCTCTTGAAGCCAGCTTTTAAAGCTAACAGCATCGTTGTTGTTTTTTAGAGGAGTGCATAAACTGAACTCTTCTGACAGCCATTGAAGACCAGATGCTTGATGGTAGGTGGAAAAAAATAAAAAGTAATTTAGTCAAAATTTAACAAAAACATTATGAAGCAGAATGCCTGAAATGCTTTTCACTATGATTTTTTTGTATAATAAAAACAGGAGAAGTGAGCATAATATAAAAACCACATCTTTCCTTAGCTATCAGAGCTTAGATGTTTGAGCTTCTTGTCAAATTAGGCTGTTCAGGAGAAAGCAAACACTCATTTACTTCAACGTATTTACAAAGGAGCTGAGTCTCATATTTGTGTGCATGGTGCGTTTTTGGAAATACATAAGCTACCTTGAGCAAGGACTTCCGTTTTTTTTTTTTTTTGTGCTTTTTTTTTTTTTTTTTTTGTGCAACAAGGCTCATTTTAAATCTAATACCTTTTCATTATTTTTCTAATTCTTTCTAAGATTTTCCTTTTTGTTCCTATTAATTCAAATGGATCTCATAAAATAACTGGAATGAAATTACATAAACTACCTTTCTATGCAGTACATAATCCATTCTCAAAGCAGCTAGCATATAACCTGAATAATTTCTATTTAATCTTTATACTTCCTTTAGAAATTACATGCTCTTCTAAATAGGTAACATGAAGGTTCACATCATTAAAAGTGCAAATAATTATTGGAGCTTTAAAACATTCAAAATGATTAGCTACACCTTATAATATTCTTCCCTAAGAAAGGTCTCGTCTTAAAAAAGTACCACTTTTTATTGATAAACAATCCAAGTTATGTTATGTGAGATAAGACCAAATGTTTTTTTCTAATCTAAAGCAGTTGCAAATGATTTACCTGCAGACAGACAAGCACTTCATTACAGTGCAACTCACCTGAAGAGGAGAGATTATTTATAGCCTTCCATGATCTTCTGATGTTTGCATCACAGTTATCGCCACTTTTGGCAAAGTCCTGCGTTACTACTTTATAGAAATCTCCACATGGCACCATGTCAGGAAACTGCCATATTGGTGCAGACGCTGCCAAAGCCCTGAAAGCCAAGAACAAAAAGAACCAATTCTATTTTTTCTCTGGAAAACCTCTAATCCATTACCATCAGTACTATACAGAGAAGATTTCTGAACTACTGTCCAGACAAGTCAACTAGTTTCAAGTGTCTGTCTTCACTCCATCAAATAAAAAAAATACAGAAACCATGCAATGTGTGCATGAAAAGCTTACCCAATAACAACATTAGGATATTTCATCCTGAACCAGGCGGAGAGCATCCCTCCATAGGAACCTCCGATGGCGATGACAGGGCTGTTTCGTGCACCGGGTATAGTACTTTTTAGGTTCTCAATCAGCACAGCAAAATCTGCAAGGGCCTGCTCTGATGTCAGGTAATTCAGGTGTTTGCTGTCCTGCAGGTTTTCAATTTAAAAATGGATATGTTATTAACATGCATAATCTTTAATATAATTAAATTGATAATGTAGTTTATTGCGTGTAGACTAGCCTGTTTGTATCTTAACTCACACTATAAGAAGCTTGTCCAAATGGCAAGGACTCTCCATAGTAGCGATGTTCAGCAAAAACAAGCATGGCGCCCAACTGTTCAGCAACTTCCCACATAAAGCCCTGAAAAAAAAATATATATATATATTTTTACAACAACAACAAGAAAACAGGTAAATGTTTTATATAAAACTAGATCATATGGGTGGACACGTGGATACTTACAGTGTTGTTGCAGAACCAGGTGATATCGCCTTCATTTCCGGTGTAAAATAAGATAGGTCCATCTGGCTGGTGCCAGTGTTTGTCAGCCACAAGGTATCTCTGCTTAAAGGTGCCATCTTGGAGGAATCCAAAGTGATCAATCTGTGAGCAGAAAAAAAAAAAAAAGTTCAGCAACAAATAATGCATATAGATTGATGTACATCAATAGTTATGGTTATTTCTGACAGATAATTGTGCAATGCATTCATTAGTTTGGGATTTAAAATTTACCTGTACACTAAAGATTACAGCCCTAGACTTTAAACTTTTCACTAGGAGGAAAAAAATAAAAAAAGTGAAAGTAATTTTGAAGAAACACCATCAAAGTCTGTATTTTTTCTGAGATATTTTAAAGGATTTTAGCATAAATTTTAAGAAATCTATAAAAACAAGGATTACATGTTAAAATATGTTTTAAAGACTTTTTAAAAAGCACTTTTAACGTAAAAATTGAAGATTTTTCTTGACTGTAAAAACACTTAACGAGCAGCTTAATATAAATCAGAATGCCACAATCTTTACAGGCTTATTTTTCTGCCTAAAAAAGTTTTAATGACATATGCCAATATTAAGATTGAATTTATTGATACTAAGACTTTTCAACTTGTAAAAAGTTCTTAATCCGTTTGCCCTCTTAGGGTCTTATTTCTGCCTTTTTGTCTCAGCCACTCTGCATTCACACCATATCATGGTACACTAATAATGTTAAAGTATCCTGCGCTACATCAGTGATTTAGCTACTAAATTCTTCAGCTTTCTGGTTCTAGGCCAAATCAATTTTCATTAGTAGTTAGATATGGCTCCATCATTTCTCATTTTCATTGATTTTCTTTCCCCCACTTTATATTGCAGACTTGGGGGGGCATCATTACCTTTCCAAATACATATTATATTTGCAATAAACAAGGTAGTTCTGTGTCTTTAAACCTGTTACACATGTTTCACAATGTTGGTAAACATTTACCGTATCCTTCCAAGAATTATGGAAAGGAATTTACCTAAAAAAAATATGTTGAAAAAAATAATCAGGTAAAATCAAACATGAAAAATGATAAAAAAGTGAGCAAAAGAGACTCAATGAGTCAAATCATGATTAGAAACTTTCTTCTTTTTCTGGTATAAAAATGGTTTCTGTATTTAAAAGCATGAACTGATCATGATTTTTTATTTCTCTGCAACAGTGCTGGGAATTAAGATGGGATCATGAGGGGCAGCTTAATAGTCAATTTAAATGCAACTACAGAAACAGGCTCTATGTTCAGTACTAGCCTCTTTCTTATTCTGATCATTGGTACACTGTTCATTGCCCTGATCATTGATACCATAATAACCTGCACAGTTCCACTCATTATTACCATGGCAGACACACAAACTATTAAAAAAAGATATTGAGAAAAGCTATTTAATAATATATCTTGATAAAGAACAGCTGTACAGGGTGTCATTTATTAACATTTGTGCAATTGAAGCAAACCTCTAGGAGCCTATTTAGAATAAGTTAATGATGCCTTGCTAAAGTACTAATATCTCTTGAACTTTTTAACATTCATTCACATCACTGACATAAGTAAATATGTGCGATGAACAACAGAAAGTAGTCTATGTATCTGAGGTGGGAGGAAAACATTACATTTTTTTTACAAATAAAAATGTGAAAGACTAAGCAGTGCTTTGTAGAACAGGCATGTCTCTGCAATTAAAGCTGTAGATTAAGGCAGGTTGGGTCTAAACCAGCATATATAACTGACGGCCAGTACTGTTTAGTAAACTAGGGTGAGGTATGCTACAATGCTGCATCTTCTCAGTCAGATTTCATCCTGGACTCTGGCTGTATCATGCCAATACATGATTCTGCTTTGATTTGTGCATATCAAAATTGTGAAAAAACATAAATATTTTGCATATAAGTTAAGAAAACATAAAAAGTCTAACCTTTGGCTATCTGATTATTAATTGATTAATTGATAAAATGATCGACAGGTTAGTTGATTATGAAAATAATTTAGTTAGTTGCAGCCCTACCTCAATCTGATAAATGCCCCTCCTCTCCCCACCAAAAACAAAAAATGTCAAATTTAAACTAAGGATGAAATAAAAAGAACATAGTATGAATTGGCCACACTTCTAAAATGTAAGCTGCTCTTAGGTCACACCCTGACTTTGGACTTTAGGGTAATTAGCACCAATTTGTATAGAGAAATTCTGGAACCATTTAAAGAAGATGCCACATTAGTTCCAGCTTCGTCGAGCTCTGAAATATCCTTTTTCACAAACCCTCAGGGATTCCTGGACATTTTCTTTCCCTTTCAACCATATTTCCCCGTGTTCTTTCCTTAACAAAGGCAGCTTCGGGGAGAAAACGACCCCATGAGGTTTCTCTAAGGTCCAGCCTCTGAAACAGCTCTCAGCACTAAATACAAAATGTTTCTGTTTTGTTTTTTTCCCCCCCCTATCGTCGCTCTGTCCCCTCCTTGGAAGAAACAAAGGAGGCAGGGTTTTTATGAGCCAGTGACAGCAAAAAGATTCTGTGGGCCTCAGTGGGTTCATTCAAGCCTCAATTCCTGCACTTGGCAGTGTTTTTTAAGGGTGAGCGGACAATGAGACAGTTTAAAGGAAATGTTCTGCAGTTTGGCAGCAGAGATAACTGGTACGGGCCAAACATGCTGTAACGTGTGTGAACAAAGAACTTCAGCTACTTTATCATGAATGTCTTCCATTGTATATCCTTGGTTATTCCAATGTTTTAAAGGGTAGCTATCCAGCTTAGGTGGAATTTAACCATAAAATTACTCTGAAGCAAAATCTTCATCTTTTTTATTGCACGGAGAAAAATATTCTAATAAAATGTGGATTTTAAAAAGATGGGAGAGAACCCTTTCTTTATGGGGTTTAGTGCTTCAGCAAAACCAGGCTAACTCATCCACTCAGTATGCATGACACACTGCCTGTAAATCTGCTTTCATAACACATAAAGAACTGAAGCTCTACTGCCACCATGTGGCCAAAGCTTCTATTTCATTTGCA